TTTCACCGGAATGGGACATGGAGATGAAAATAACCATCAAGGCTCAAATGTAGTAGTTAGTTGAGACAAAGGAGCAGGCAGCAAGGCGAAAGCCACTCCGTGCGGTGGCTGCTGGAAGAGCTGCCTGTGCTGAAGCAGAGGTGGGTGGCTGGCAGCCCGAGGAGGTCCGAGCTTAACTGAGCATCGCTGCATGGGACGCTGGGTTAAAGTCGTCGTCTTGCTTCGCTCCTGTCTCTGGAGATACCTGCACACATTATGACAAGGTCAGTAGCAGTTTTAAAGTGTTGTTGTTGATGTCTTTTTGTTTTGGAGTAAGTTAGCTGCCTGCCCTGTTTTATCCGGTGTTAAGCATCTCGTGTGCGTCTTGCTCCGCTAAATAAAAATAGCCTCATTAGCTGACAAAGAGCTCCCTCTTATCAAAGAGACTGATGTAGCACTTTGTGAGGTTATGTGTCAGAGACAGGAACGCAGTGATCTGTAGTATAAAGATAATCATCATCTATACAGCGGGGCTGTGTTGTTATGCAGCTGTTTGCTGATTCACAGCATTGACCTGCAGACCCACCCTTTTTTTTTGCTGGCAGTGGCATATTGGCGGTTTAGAACTTTTAGGGACTTCTTTTTTCACCTGTAAAAACAAGGCCTGAGACAGGCTGTAACTACATGTATCTGAAATCCTCGTGGTACCCTTTATTATTCATAAGACTTATTTTTGTTTTGTTTCTCGGAGCTGGGACACCAGTCTGTTGCACTTTAAAAGTGATACTCTTATAACCTTTGAGTGACAATGAAATAACATTGATTTTTTTATTGGTAACCTCTGTTTTCCCTGGAATATTTTAGAAGAAAATTCATCTTGCTCCTGGCTGTTACTGCAAAGCCAAACTTAAAAGGTGCTTCCTAAACATAAAACATTGGAACCAAGAGTGGGAAATACTTCCAAAGTTAGTTGCTCTATACAAGCTGTTAGGTGGTGTGAGGAATAGATGATGTTTTTTCAGTGTCGACAGATGCCTTCTGTTTCCACCTTACAAACAGTGCTTGGATTGCCCACAGTCCTTAGTAGGAAGCAAACAGAAGAAGGAAGCCGTGAATCTACGGAGAAGCTAAACAAATAGAGACTCGAACCCACCCCACCTCGCTTCAAATCGACACCATTTATCCACTTTCCCACTGGGGGCTGTGGTTTTAGAGGAGCCTGGGCGGGCACGAGAACTCCGCCCCAGGTCTGTGCGCAACAAAGCGAAAACTAAAGGAAGTCACGACAGGCGTGTAAGAGTTTGTGGAGTTTCTAGCAGCCTTTTGTGACAGGGACATGCAAGAAGTACTGCTGGAATATCATAACCTGCCATGCTGTATTGCATACGGCAATGCGCCTTGTCAAACGAGAATGTAGACCTGATTGTGCAAAGTACAGAAGCCAGTTCCTAAATCTAAGAGTTAAAGTCACTTTGTTACCTCCAGGCTTAAATGCTCTGCGTGTTGCATGTTTAAGTGCAAAAGGGAGGTTCGATATTTTTCAACTTCAGTATCGCTCTCGCAGTGCGTTGTTCAAGGCTGCGTGCAAGTGAGGTGACTCTGTTATGAAAGCCATGAGGAACTCGGGTGAAGAGTGTGAGATTTGTAGGGTTTAAAGAGTAGGCAGAATTTCTTTGGATTTTGGCCCAGATTTTTTGCTAAAAATGGCTGATGCGTGTATTGGCAACACTTTATTCCCAGCCTACATGAATGCCAGTACCGATGATAGTTCAGTCATGCATCTTGTAGAAATGAAACCGTTTTTAGTCAGTGGGATGCGATTCTCCTCTTCTTTTTTTTCCTACTGGGAGCATAAATTAAACTTATAAAACATGCTGCTGCTTATTTTCCACTTGTATTTCAGAAGTCAACATATCCTTGAATAAGTCACCAGGGACGTCTGCTGTGAACTGAGTAATTTGGTTGGTGAGATGCTTAGCTTGGCAATGGATGGCTTCTGTGTTTTTTAGGAATCTTGCCATCCTGATTTCCCACCTTCACTCGTTTAACCTTTAAAAGCTCGAGATAACTTTGACAGAATCTAGTGGGTAGAGCAGTTGATTGAGGACAGGCTTTTTTATCACTCTGTATCTCACCAGTTTTGCTCTTTTCAGGCTTGTAATGAGTTCAGTTGCAAGAATTTTTTTTTTGCTAGAGAACTTTTGGCAGCTTTTTCCTCAGGTCTTAGGCAGGAGGTCGGTTTACTCCTCAGAGTGGAATCATAGAAGTTCTAATGACAGTTACTGAAGAAACTTGGATGACGAGCAGCATTATCTTTCTGCCAAGAATATTTAAATATAAATATATTGATTTCAAACAGTATAATTGCCCAGATTTCTTACATTCAATGAAGATTTGATTGACTTCTACTTGAGGGATGTTCCATTGTTAAAAACTGGGCAGTTCTGGTTAGATCAATAAAAAATTGCCTGAGATAAGTCTAAAATTAACTTTAAGGAGTAAAACTAATATGCTGAAGACTCTTATTAAATTACCAGCTAACTCTGGGAGCATCTGTTCCTCGAGAGCTCGGAAGTCTACGCCTAACGCACATGAGCAGGCTACAGTGGCCGGCCCACGTTCTGCAGATGTTGGTGATGGTAGTGGTGGTTGTACAAAATGACAGAATTACAGAATATTTGAGGTTGGAAGAGACCTTTAAAGATTGTCAAGTCCAACTGCCCTGCCAGAGCAGGATCACCCAGAGTTGGTCACACAGGAACGCATCCAGGTGGGTTTTGAAAGTCTCCAGAGGAGACTTCACAACCTCTCTGGGCAGCCTGTGCCAGCGCCCCATCATCCCCACAGTTAAGTATTTCCTTAGGTTTAGGTTTGCACTACAACAGACTTAATTTTGAGGGGGCCAAAAATGTAAGAGGAAGCATGACACGTTAGCCGAGTAGTTTTGTGAAGTAGTCCTTCGGTAAAACAGAAGCGATCTCTGGAGATTAGGGTCTAGCTTGCAGAGTTCCTCCTTGCCTCAGTTACAACATCGTGGTCCTTCTTGCGCTCACTGGCCGACTGATTTTGGCGTCCTCTCTGCTCGGTGGGGCAGTTGCAGTAGGAGAGGTGAAAAATGCTCTCGTAAGGAGAGCTCCGGCCTGCAGGATGTGTGAGAACTTGGCTGGAGACCTCTGCAATAGATGAGGAAGTGACACCAGGATCTCCCAGATTCCAAATGAATTTCTGACCGTGAGATACTTGTACCTCCACCTTCCCTGCCCGTGATTTAAAAAGAAGGACAGATGGCCCTGCTCAGTTCTTTGGCAGAGAGCACGTTCCTTTACACGTGGAATTGGGTGCAGACATGGATCCTGAGTGATAGTCCCCAAAATCCAGATTGAGGCAGGAAGAAGTAAAATTTGTCCCTCCTTTCATCATTTTTTTTAGTAACCAGATTAAAGTTCTTGTGCTCTGTCAGCCCTGATTTGCAGGGCTTCCTGCTCAGCTTCCCAGCTGTTTCGTATCTCCGACATGAGGCGTTTTTTCCTCCAAGGGGAATTCCAATGCTTCTCTCTAGGTTCAGGGTTTCACCACAGGGCGCTGAGTGTGGAGAGGCTGCATGTTCCAGTAACTGCTGTGTTTGCCTGGATCTGCACTTCTTGATTTTAACTTAGTCCAGTTCTGAATTATTTAGACTGGAAAACTGTCTTCAAAGGAAAACTGCTTTAAAGTTCTCTCTTCTGTCACCCTTTAAACAGTTAGTACCCGAGAATCATTTGCATTTCCTACCTGGTATCCATTAAAAATCAAATTAAATCATGTGCAATATTCATAGGGATCCCTTACAGGTGAGTGGTCTGCTCTGAAAGACTGGATGAAATTCTTTTCCCATGTACTCCCTAAACCTAGAGAATTAAGAAGGCGCTTCGAGATGCTGTTTATGATGCTGTAATTTAGCACCACATTCATCCACCTTGATTTCTGTTGCTTGTCCTTCACGCATTCTGCATCATCCGAGAAAGGTTATTGATGTGGGCACATTTTTAATGGCACGAATCTCTGGAGCCGTCTCCAATGTCTGAGTGATTGGAGCTTCATTTAAATAATTGATGAGAAGTGTTAGTCAGAATGTAGTGGTGATTCAGACTGCATTTTTCAACGATATTTACTGACAGTTATAGATTGGTCCAGATTTACTTCTTTTTCCAGGCTGCATTAAGCTAGGGTCCTGCATGACATATCTGTCTATTAAAAATAAAAAAAAAATATCCCTGTTAATATATGTGAAAACCTGTGAGCTTAAGGGCTTTATTTAACTAGTTGCAAATAAGCAATAATAATTCATAATGTTTAGCAGGGAAAAGTGAGTGTGAAGGGGTCTCTTTTCAAGTGAAAAGTGTTTCTTTTCTTGGTCTTGTGTTTTGTTCAGGAGTGGACCTGAACATCTTAGTTGTCATTCAGGGACTTTCCTGCAGCTTTCCCTGCCCTAGTGGGTGCCACCTCTCTGTTACCCACCCACCACAAGTAGCTTCTCTAAAGGTTTGCAACTTTTAATCTTTGACATGTAAAATCTCTTCTGGCTCCTACTGGCATGTGAAAAAAAAATTAAAATATCTAGCCTAGGAGGCTCTCCATGATTGATCAGGGTGACACTGGGCATCTTGCACAATCTCCTTTTACTCTGTTTTCCCAGAGTAAAAACATTCCCAATTTCTTCTCTATTTGCTGAAGTAGGTAAAGCTCTGAGTGAGCTTTTGCACCGTCCTTTGGAAACCACCTCTGGGAGCATTTGGGGAACTCACTGTCCCTTTTAGTTTCATGTCCCTATTGGGAAGTACTTTAATATATCATCACTTTCTTTTATCAGGCAACTGAGTGTTCATGTCTCTCCCTTTTTTTTTCTTAATTACATGCAGTAAATATTCCGCTGCAAATAACCCACCCTCTTTTACTGTTGTTGGGGTGCATTGTCATTGCAGCTGTGCGTGAGGAATGAACAGGTGCTTCTTCCTGACCCCTCTTTTCTATTTTTACTGCAGGAACTGTGGACATGGGTGGCAAACAGTCCACAGTGGGCGAAGTCTCCATAATTCAGACACCTGTGACAGAAAGCATTCAGGATGCTTACAAAGCTGGAGACACCAGTAAGGCCCAAGAGTTGATTAAGTTGTCATGCGAGGAGGCTGCACTGCAAGTGGAAAAGGTAGGGTTAGGTTACTGCTCTTTCTCAGATTTTATTGGGAAAGAAATCAAAATGCCAAGCTGCTTCTTTGCAGAAAATCCATCCAGGTACATATGTTATACCGGTGCTACAGGGTCTGCGGCTGATTGTGTGAAGCACTCAAGAAATGTAACGCTCAGGGACAGCATTTGCCCTTGCTCAGAAAGAGGTGACAGACCCCGGGGAACAGCGCGTGTAGGAAGAGGAGGCCGTGTGAGGAAGGGTGCTGGTGCTGCGGTCACCAAAACAGGGAAACACATTTTTCCTGGTAAAAAGGAAGCAGTTTATAGACTTAGCAGAAAATGTATTCCCTGTTCGGGCGTAAGGTGGTTAATGGGCCCCTTGGAAGATTTTGCTGCATGTGCTTGGAACTATATTCTCTGTGTCAGCTTCTGCACTGCTCTGCCTTCAGAGCCCTCGTTTTGAGCCCGCTCTGCACCAGAGCTTATCTTAGTGTTTTGGGGGGTACCCACATGTCAAGTCCAGGCATGTGGGTCATCTCCAAACCAGGAAATGCTACACCTTGCAGCAGAGCTGTGCGAATGTTTTTCTGTTGGGCCATGAAAAATGGGTTTACACCATACAAAACCCATACAAAAAACTATAAAGCAAAAACTAATTAATATAATTAATATATCAACAGCAATGATTATAATGGCTACTGGTGCTGCTTTTGTCATTCCCAATTAACCACAGAGACAGTGGGTGTGCACTGGCACGGAGACATACATAGAAATACATAGCTGTAGAAATGCTCACTTTCTCTGCCTGCTGCCTTTACAGAGAGTTTATTTTGCTCTATCTTCTTTACCAGAGTCAGCTTTTAGGTATCGCAGCAGCGTATGGAGATCTGCAGGCGGTGAGATATTTACTGAAGGAAGCATTAGTGGTGTTACCAACAGAACCTAACGATGACAACGCAGCGGTGGTGGCTGCGTATTTTGGACATAAGGACATTGTGAAAGAGCTGCTGGATTCCTTGCACGGTAAGCCTATGAGTTGCCTCTGCCTCTCTTCAAGCTTTTTGGTAGCCATGTGCTACAGCTAGAAGCAGGCGTTTATTTGGTTTTTTTACACAGTCTTTGAAAAGGGAGGGACTTAGTCACAGGAAAATACATGGAGGGGTCTAATCTCCTCTGTGTTTGAAGAAAACTTCCCCCATGGGGGGAAAAACACATACGTAAAAATATTCCAGATTGGAAGTAGAGGAAGCTGCCATTTAGATAATTCATCCCATTAGCCCTCAGAGCTGGGTAACGTCCCAGACCTCACAGAGAAATTAGGTGATTTTCAGGAAACAGCATCATTCTGCTCCGCCAATCCAGCAGACACAGCGATGCTGGGAGTGAGAGTGCCGCGTGCCCGTCCGGTGAGTAATAGTTTGGGTCCAAAGCTGGCACTAGGCTCGATACTCTTTTGTAGGCATTTTGTTTTGACTTTCAGGGAAACTCCTTCTTTAGAATCATCAGTAGATTTCAGATATGTTTTATTCAAAAAATTATTTTGTAGCAAAGCAGTCAGTCAGTCCTGCGCGGCAGCCAGGGTGAATCGCTGCCTTGACCTCAGGCACTGCGCTAACTGCGACAGCTAAGCTAAGCCTCTGCAATGTTTGACCTGAATTTAGCTCTAGCTCCTTGCTGGAGCTGTATACTTGCCAGTGACCTCGATGAGAATGGGAATAACCTAGTGGAAAGGCTGCTTATTTGATGTTCTTATACTATTAGAGCACTAATAAGCAAAAGAAACGTTCCAGTTTGGGGGATGCAGTTAAACGTAGTGTTTCCTTCTGTCAGAAAGGAGGCTGACAGAACTGGTCTTGTAACCTAGTAGCAAAAGTTGAATTATATTAGTATAGTATTCACAATAATGAAAAGCGACTTAAGTAGTTTCTGAAAACTTAGCTCAGTTTAGAACTGACCAAATTCCCTTAACCCGATGATCAGACGAGGTGTTCTATACAAACAGCAGCTTTCCGAAATCTTTATGCAGGACTTCCCGTTTGTTTCTCTGTGAAGTTACATAGAAACCAATCGCAGGGCTTAGGAATAAATTCCATGAATTTGCAGTTTGGCTGATGCGCTGCAGCGATTCTCTCTGGCTCAGTGTGAACTTCTTGTGACTCACAGCTGAAGCGGAGCCTGTTTTTTGCAGCGTGAAGACAAGTGATGTAGTCAAGTTGTTAAGAACGCAAAGAGCAATGTAGTTTCCACATGGAGAAACTGCAAGAAAAAAAAAAAGTTGACACGTAAACTTGGGCCTGCAGACATTTCTGTAAGCATTGTAAAGGAGATGTGAATTTGTAAAGTAAATAGGGGTGATGCTGTGAATTCTTTCATGGGCATTTAGTTACGTGTGCAGAATTATGCACGCCCGGAGGAAAGCAGCATTCTACAGGCATAACTGTAATTCAGAAAAAAAGCAGTTTGGAGATTACTAAAATGTTAGCAAGTTCATGCAGAAGTCAGAACATGGTGTTTTAGTTTTTAGTTTTAAGTGACATTTGTCTAACTTGACGGTGAATTGTAGTAAAGAATTCACCCAAAATGAAATATTCTGAGGGGAAACGAAATTTTTTGTGAGAGGCTTTAGGTGACAGTGAAAACAAAGTAAAACAATTATTTTGGGTTGTCTGAAACATTTAATTTCGGTTTATTCATCCAGTAGCTTGACAAGTCAGCTGGCTTTCCTCGTTTTTTGTGTCCCCTCTAATGAACCTGGAAGAAGCGAGCTATCTTGGGTGGTTGGGTCTAACATCTGTTGGATCAGGCCTGTTGCCTCAGGGTGCAAAGACAGTCCTGGTCATCCCTTGCCACCACTGTTTGGGATTAGATATTTGATTTTTCTGCTGGCGGCCTAGCAGGCATCTTCAGAACCTTCCACAGTTGCTAGTTTAGGTATGCTTAGATCAAAAAAGTTGGCCCATTACCTGGGTGGGTGATACAGAACAGCGAAGACAAGCTGAAAACTTTGTGCCTGACCAGCTTAGGGCTCTGCTGTAACACTCCTGCAGCGCGATCTGCTCCTCTGTCCTCAGGGGCTTCACCCTGTACCATTCGCGTAGCCGTTATTTGTGGATGATTCTTGCACGTCACAACCCGATGGTAACAACTAAATCAAATTCCTCATGTTTTCTATAGGTCCTACTACTTGCCAGCAACTCCTGAACTGGATGCTGGCCATAGCCTGCCAGCAGGGACATTTGGATGTAGTAAAACTCCTAATTCGTGCATACAGCGCTGACCCAGAGAGCTGTGCAGTCAGAAGGAATGAGTTTCCAGTTCTTATACGGTTGCCCCTCTATGCTGCTATAAAGGCAGGTATGTATTTGCATGTTTCAAAACTTTGTCCCTTTTCTGCAGTGCCTTTTAAAGAATGGGCCGAGTTCTTCGCATCTAGGAAGGTATCAGCGTGGCCTGGAATTGTCCTGGATTTCCAATGGGATAAATAAAAATAAAATAGACTCTGAATCTTTTGACTTAGCCAAATTTAATTTAGGGCCTTCTTAAGTTAGGTTACTGTAAATACTAAGAGGCTGAACTTTCCTCTGTGAACTCCTAGGGAAAAGACCCTTCAAAAATAGAAACCTTGCAAGTAAAAGCATTATTGTTATAGACACTGTGGCACACATGCTTGGTTTTGGCTGAATAATTTACATTTCAAAGCACAGCTGTGTGTATAGTACAGTAAGACAGGGAAAAAAGAGAAAAAAAGAAAGAGCTTTAGAAGAGTATCTTTGGTGTCTCAGTTTCACCAAACTAAATTCTGTCACTAGAGGAAGCAATCTTTATACAGTTCAGTTTTCTTTTTGCACACCCCTGTATGTTTTTTCAGAAGTGGTTATTTCCCAGGATTTCTGTTCAGCTCCTTATTGGTTCATTTACACGAGAAGAAGAGAACAGATGGTCTGTTTTTCTCTAAAGGGAATGAAGATATAGCTGTGTTTTTATTACGGAATGGAGCTTTCTTCTGTTCCTACATCCTGATGGACAGTCCTGAATACAGCAAGCACCTGCTGAGGAAGTATTTCATTGAGACGAGCCCACTACCAGGTAGTGCTCCAGCTAAAACAGTAAGTAACCGTTTATCTGTCTGAAGAGATGGTCTTTTAAAGGAGCATCGTGTTAATAATTTGTATTTGTCTTTGGGTACCATGTGGCTGGTGATTCTTCTCCTCAACTAAGAGCCTTGTGGTTTGCTACTCGTTTAGACAACAAGCTGTGCTGATTTGCAAGGTGTAAAACATGAGGCCTCTAAAAGGCATCATCGCACAGGACGCTGCGTGCGGCGGCTTCTGTTTGGCAATTTTGACATCAGCGTGTGAACCCAGGCATATGCCGTGGAAAGGAAACATTGGCTTTGTGCTCGGAGTCTTCCAGGGAAATAAGTGCTACCACAGGCTTCTTCTGTCGCTCCAGGATAATCCCTTCGGCTGGGTTTCTTTGTTACATTCTGGTTGCAAGGTCAAGCCAAGAGCTCTGTGCTTGCCTCCGCGTGTTAGCCTGGCACAGAGCTGGGCGTGTAAACCCTGCTCTTCTGAGCCCAAGAGCTCTGAGACAGCACATACAAATAGGCTCAGGTGGCTTTTTTGTTGATGCAGAGCATGAGGAGAACAAGCTCATATCTGCTCTAAATATCTTCTCTCCTTCAGATCCTCGTTAGTAGGAGATATCTGGTTGCCTTTGCTGTCACTTGGTGGGGACGGATGGTTTTTGATGATGTGCAGAGGCCAGCAGAAGCAAATTAAAGCTTTTTTGGTTGACGAGACCTCTGGTTATGATTTAGCCACTTAGAAGCTTTTGACCCTTTTGGTAATTTGTCTGTATTTCTGTTTCTTCCGCTGTAAAATGGGGAGATTTAAACTCCTCTCATCTCACCGCTGTTGGAAGGCTTATTACGTGATGATGGTGCTTTTAAATGTACAGAGGAGTAGCATTGTTTTAATGCAGGGTATTATTACATTTCATGATTAGCACATATCTTTGTATATCTAGGCTATATTCTTCATTCTCTTAACCTCTGTTATCCAAGTCTCCTTTACCCAGAACTGAAAAATGTCTCACAGCACACATTGTTCCTGCTTTATAGGGAAGCAGGGAGTATTTCTACTGTTATCTAGCAATTTAGTTATCAGGCATTTTCAATTTTTCCCATCAGTATGTTGATTAACTCATGCTAAATAAGACCATCAGAGTCCTGAGCTTTCAATACTTAGAATTTTCATCAGGTCAAAAACATTTTGCAGTGAAAAATCATGAGGAAAAGTTTTCGGTCGGGGCTCCTCTCTGCGTGAGTGCTGTTGCCAGTTAAATATCTGTCTGCTCAGCTCATAACATTGAGGGGTGTTGATTCTGTTTTGGTGTTCAGTAAAAATAAGCAGGGAGATTTTCACAGTTTTACCAACTTCTCCATTCTCTTGTTTTCCTGCCAAAACGCTGTCTCACTGGGTTCCTGACGATACTGTGAGCATTAGGGACTCCAGTCCACGTGTGTGAGCTTGACTTCATCGGGTTCAATCAGCAGATTTAGAGCCTTCCCTGTGGGATTCTTAGTTTCATTGACAGGTAAACAGAAGGAAGATAAATCCTAGATGTTTCTTGATAAGAGTTGATAAAACTTCAGGCCTTTTAGAAAGAAAAAAAGTCCAACTAACTAGATAATTCAGCTTGAGTAAGCTTATGAATAAATGTTTGAATCACAGGGAAGAGGTCTGTTTTCCATGTGAACTTGCTGGCAATATTTAATTTAGCTGCTGTAAAAATGACTCAGCTCTGCTGTTGTCACACCCTGAGTGAAGAAAAGAGCAGTCTTAAAACATCAGCTAATTGCCAGAAGAGCCTGGTTTTAAAAAAGGAAAAATTAAAGGTTAAAAATAAAAAAAAGCCAGACCCAGAAACGTGACCTTGATTCTTCTAGTAGCTGTTGATTTTTAATATGTTTGCTTATTTAGTGCTTTCTCTTTGATTTCGTTTTTGCAGACTGGGCCGAATTCAGGAAGATTTGTCCTAGTTTGTGTGCAGAGCTCAGGTCTCTGGGAAGTGATAGTCACACACCCTGATAATTTTTTAAAACATGACTTCATGCCTAGACATTTGAGAAGCACTTTAACAGGGAATCAGCCATTTTAACAACTAACCTTTCTTGCTAGGAATGCCAAATTTTTTCAAAAGCTATGCTGAGACTCAGCCATAATGGGGGCAGAGGGGGCTAAACCAGAACGAACAGGAAAATCCAAACAAGCTGCCTCAGTGCTTTCTTCATATCTCGTAAGGTCGGTGAATGTAAGTGTTCCTCACTCGCTGTGTGAGTGCTGGGATGCTCCTCGCTGGGAGCAGGCGAGAATGGATTGTGCAGAGCCTGCGATGTGTGTGGCAGCCAGCTGGATGGCAGAAAATCTCACCTCCTGGACAGGGCAGACCGAGCACCGATCATTTCAGAATGAGCCCAGAACTTCGAAGGGGTTTGTCCCATCTCTGCTCTCTTGGAGTGAAAACACTGCCCCATTGACCTCCAATCGATTTCACAGCAGCGAATGCCACCAGCTATGCAGAAAATGTGTCTGGAGAGCTCGATTCAGCTGCCACATGTTCCAGACAACCGTCACGCCATACAGTGCTGCCCTTTCTGAGTTACATCTCATTTTTCTAATATCTGTTTCTGCTTTTTTCTTTTTATTTTATTTTCCTGGCTTAAATTTATCCCCACAGTAAACCACTGTCTTACCGACGAGAGGAAGTGCTCCGTTTTTACAGGAACAGGTAACAAATGCCAAAAAGTAGAGTGGCTGGGCACAGGTTCCAGACATCAATAGGTGTAGTCAGCATGGACATGCATGTGACTTTCCAGCGTGTGCAGTGTGAAATATATTTATTTTTGCTGTTACAGACCAGAAAAGAGCTTAAACTGCTGCATTTTCTCTAGGAAATGTTTTATCAAGAATTTGATAGGCAAACATACAAATGTATGTGTGTGATCCTCCTGTGATTTCTTTATCCACTGCCTGGCTGAGCTCAGTTACACCACTGTCAGTAAAGAAATCTGCAGCAGTTCCATGAAAGATTCACAGCAGCGCTACTGATGGAGGAATTAGATCAGAGTATCCTGTGTATGGCAAGACCAAGGTTCTGTTTGGGCATGTCACGTCATTTAGGAGAAATGCACAGCATCCTTCTTTAATTTCCTTACCAAATGGTCTCAAATCTAAGTCGTCGTTTGCCCAAGAGCAGCGGGGTTTCTTGCTTTTGCAGTTTCCAGTTCCTTGCTTTCCTCAGTGCTCCCACTGACATCACTGCGGTAGAAGATTTCAATATAGTTTTCAGGACTTGTAGTGAAAAATTCTTTCCTTGGCAGGAGAGGGGAGTCAGCAAAGGTTTTCCTTATCCTTCTGAAGAGCCACCCAGAGTCAGGCTGTGCCCAGGAGCCAACAGCCTCTGAACACCGTCCCTCTCACTTGAGTGCAGAGCTCACCGGCCGGTGCCGAGCAGACCAAAGCTGAGCTGATGACCAGCTCTGCGAGTTCAGCACCTTTGACATCAAAGAAACAGACTTTGCAGGGAAGGTAGCGCGGATGATTAAGTATGAATTGAGGAGGAAATCCCCTCTCCTTGTAGCATTGCTGCCGGGCGTGGAGCCAGGTAAATCCCTAAGGTGACTCCACTGACAGCAGGTTGCTAGCACCGAGATGAATGGGCTCTGCTCTCCTTCAGACAGGTGAAGGGGCTTGGCTGATCCTCCAGTTTGCAGCACTCAAGTAAAAGACACCCTCTCAATCCAGGAATCTGGATGTAAAGGAGAAGTGAGGGCAAGGAGGTTTAAAAAGCTGCCTGGCAGGTGGAGACACCTACCCCGCAGCATTCAGAGCAGGTTTTGTATTTCACAATCCCGTCTGTGGTTTTAGAAGTCTCTCTCTGGATTCTGCAGGTATCTTTCTATCACATGAAGTACCCTGAGGCCACAGCTCTGCATTTTTGAGGTAAATGATACATGATAATCTAAATGCAAAATAGAGATGAGTATCAGTCTGAAATGAGAAGCAGCAGAGATGCATGGTCCCGCTTGCACCCACTTAAAAGTAGACTATAGATCTTATTATTACTCCATTGGTCGCTGTACTCAAGGACAGCTACTTTTTTCTACTGAGCCCATTGTAAAGAGCATCATCTAGAAATAGCAGGAACTGAGAGAGGGGCTAAGCAACATGAGTTCTTTTTTCTGATATTTTTTTTTTGTTGCAGCCTTGTTGGGAGCAGTTTAATGAAGCAGGAAGAGAAGAGAGGGAGTTGGAGTATGTATTTAGTGCATTTTTATTCCTGGCTCCCCTGAGAGAAGGGGAAATGTTACTGTCCCATTATATGGACTAGCAGACAGAGTGGATAATCTGAAACAGTGACTGGTGTCACACAAGAAATCGGACTTTGAATTCAAGGTCTCAACCACAAGAGCCTGCTTTATGTTGTCAGGAGGAAACCAAATGAGCAATCCATCTCTCTCTGTCAGAATTTCAAAGCCCTATATGGTTATATGGGTCCTCTCTGTGACTGAAGGACCTGTGGATAGCCTTGGCATGGAATATTTGCCCCCATTTTTGGCTGTAATTCTCAATTTCCTTGCTTCTGTTTGTTTAGGTAAAATATGTGAATAGTTCAAGCGGTTGGATACTCTGGGCTCTGGAAATGTGCTACAGAGTGTCCCACTTCGGATCAGATGCTAAAAGATGTTAAGGAAAAAAAAAAAAAGCAGCCAGGAAAATCTTCCTTCCCTGTTTTTTGGGAGGCCCTGGTGGGGATCGTGTGCATCCACAGCCATTGTGGCAATACTGTTACCAAAGGAGCAAGTGCCAGAATGCCACCACTTCCATCTCAACGTGCTGTTGAAAGTTGTCCTGGATTTCCAGGGTGAAGCTCCTCAGGACGGCATCTTTGTTATGTGTCTTGCCCAATGCAGTGCTAGTGTTTGCTGACGATAAGATACACGAGATAATAACTGACGGCTTGTCCTATCAGTGCTGAAGCCACCTTTGAGTGTAATTGCACAGTTTCTCTTGTTGCAGGATGAAAAACAACTTCATGCTTGAGATTTGGACTTCCTCTGAGCAAGGTCTCCGAGATGGTTACAGGAGATAACGGATGGGTCTGAGATGAATCCACCTTGCTATAACCCTTGGGGCTGTGTTAGCAGTCCCATACCCTGTGTTAGCAGTCCCATACCCTGTGTCTTGACAGGGTGGGAAGCCCCTTCCTTATGAACAGGGAATTTTTAAGACCACAGACATGTTGCCTGGAAATGCTGCCTAAAATCTTGGATTTTCACAGAATCACAGAATCATCCAGGTTGGAAAAGACCCTTGGGATCATCGAGTCCAACCACAAGTTCACCCCTAGACCATATCACGCAACACCACATCCAAGCGATGCTTAAACACATCCAGGGATGGCGACTCAACCCCCTCCCTGGGCAGCCTGTTCCAATATCCCACAACTCTTTCCGTGCAGAACTTCTTCCTAGTGTCTAGTCTAAACCTACCTTGTTTAAGCTTGAAGCCATTCCCTCTAGTTCTGTCACTAATTACCCGAGAAAAGAGACCAGCACCAACCTCTCCACAATGTCCTTTCAGGTAGTTGTAGAGAGT